GATGAGCTCTACAATATTGTCATTATATTATTAGCGAATTCTGAATAAAAACGAAACTTTTTTTTTTGTTATGAGTTAATATTACATAGTATTCACATTTTCAATGCACATCAGTCTTATGTTAATTGTTTTAAAAATCGATGAATTTGATTTCATTCATCCAAATACTTTTTCTTATGAATAGTGTTAAGAGTTTTCAAAAGATGAAAAATAAACAAAAATATTAATGAAATAACGGAATATTAATTATATAAAGATAAAGCCATCTAAATCCCTAAAGAAATCAAAAGAAATAAGACAAAGTTCAAACTGCCTGGGATGTTGGCTTACAGTGACCCAGAGGTGCAAGTCTTACCCCGCTCTTTAATTCATCAATCTGGTCCTGTGTCAGTTTATGGCTGTCATGTGTGTCTCCAAAAACCTTTCCTTTTTTGGAAGCAATCTTACCAATTCCCTCAGGCTAAGACATAGGAGAGATGACAAAATCATATACCACATCGTCTTAAGCTCATTATTACTGTTGCATCTTTGAAATACTAACACCTGGTTTATATTCAACATTAATCTTTGGCAATTCAATTTCGTTTCACAGGCAGAAATTTCCAAAAATCCCCTTTCAGTTTTCAATAATCTAAATATTTCCAATCACTTATACTGAATGTCAACTTTCCTAATAATAATCCACTGTCACCTATTCAACGTCTTTATATCTGCTGATTAAATGTGAAATTTCAAACAATCGATGGAACTTTTACAAAATTTTGCATAAAACGAGGGGTGATCAAAAAGTTTGGGAACTATCTCTATATTTATAAAACCATGATTCAGATCAGAATGAAATTTGGCTCGCATAGAGTCATACAAATGTTCTGTAAATAGCATATGTAATAAAACGTTTTGCACCATGTTTTTGTCGTCACAATGTGAAAATGACGTCAATATGTAGGTGACTCGTGACGAAAAATGGTTGTCACAGTTTTACTCGTGCAAAGACCGGCTGTAAAGTTTAACGTATAACTTGGATTTTCCTTTGAAGTATCTTATATAATGATTTGTAAAAGGTTTATGAAGACAATAGACTTTCCAGACGTTCAGTCATAAATTGGATTGTTTGTTTTAGTGGAGGGAGGGAGATGGTTTAAAATGACGTTTGTTTTGTACATGTAGCCCAGCGGTTACTAAGCAAGCTGTGGAAGAGATGTGTCCTTTGTTACAAGCTAGTAAAATAGTAGAATATCTTAGCAATAATATCAATATTAAATCACTAAAATTTCGTTTAATTTAAACTTTTTTACATATTAAATATGATAAAAAGAAGGCCTCCACAACTATATCCATATTGGATAAACGACGTTCCTAAGACAGAGGACTCGGGTTACAATTGTCACGGTGTTTCATTCTGGGAAAGTATAGCCTTATTCAACCATCCTTTTTCTGGGAGTTTGCCATTTCTGACAAATGGACTGTTCTTGTTTTAAAAATCAACTTGCATAGTAAAAAAAATATAAGACTCAGAAAAATATTTCAGGGTCTACGAACAGAATGCTTTAGAGCATGTCACGTGACCGCCAGGATCACGTTTTCGCGTGGCAGATATGCATTATAATCAAAGATGGCTACTTTAAAAAATAATGAACACTGAAACCTAATTTTGTTTTTGTTTTTGTTTTATGGAAGCTATTCAGTTTGTTCGCGAACTTTTTGATCCCCCTTAGTATTTCCTATTCGTATAAACATCGAAACGTATGAATCTTCTACATTCTATTTCTCATGATAAATTGAAAACTACACGTTTGTCTTTGTAAAATGTAGTAACACTTCACCTTCTTAGGTGTTAATGTCTTCTGAATACAAGATTCAAAGCTTTTATGCGTACATTCAATTTTAAAAATAAGAAAAGATATGGATTACCCCATATCCAAAGATATTCGACTTTTAGATTTAATATGTTTAACAGTGTTTATAATGACATTAAAGGTACTTGGACACAGATTTGAAGTTAATATTTTCTCTATAATATTACGACTTATATATTTTAATAGCATTTCACACAAAAATTAATTAAAAATCTTATTTCATTTAAAAGTATTAAAACTTTAAAATTTTTGGCGGGTTTGATTGACACATCCTTGCACTTTCACAAATTTTAAGTTAATTCTTACTCCTTAGGAAAAGTGGCAATCCTAGCTGATGTGTATTAATGAAAAATATTAATACTATAATCCAGAAAATTCAGAGTAGACATGTTCCAAAGCAAAACAAACACACAATATATTGTCAGTCCGTGCAAATGTGGTGAACAGACTTTGGCGATTTAACGCACCCGATGAATCGTAAATACCAAACAATAACATGTTTACAAAAACCACGGGCACTGGAAGTTAGTGTAAATATATAGTATGTGTATGTATAAAAAAAAGAAGGGTAGGACACTCTTTTTGAGGCAAATTCGGGTTTGGGGTATTCTAGGCCAATAGAACTTACCTTTTTATTCAGTTTGGATAAAGCGGAAGTAAGGCAGTCTAGCGAAATTCTTAGGCACTTGGGGGTATAAAAACATCTTTTCCTTCGAAGGGACGGCATTGAAGCGGAACGAAATAGTAAATATATTTAAAGTAAGTTATATCTGAACGATTAATCGCGTCAAGTTTTCTGAGAAAGGCCTAGAATACCCCAAACCCGAATTTGCCTCAAAAAGAGTGTCCTACCCTTCTTTTTTTATACATACACATACTATATATTTACATTAACTTCCAGTGCCCGTGACAAAAACCTGTGTACATAACACGAGTGTGATCGATTCGCAAAACTCTGTACACAACGGAATGACGAAACTTGTGAAGGAGTTTTGCTTTCTAACATTTCTACTCTGAATAAAATTATTCTTCTTGATTTAAGTTTTAATATTTATCATTAATACACATCAGGATTGCCACTTTTCCAAAGTTTTAAAGGTACTTGGACACAGATTTGAAGTTAATATTTTCTCATTTTTTCTGTATAACATCACGAATTATATATTTCAATAGCATTTCACACAAAAATTAATTAAAAATCTTATTTCGTTTAAAAGTTATTAAAACTTTAAATTTTTTTAGGCGGGTTTGATTGACACATCCTTGCACTTTCATAAATTTTAACTTTATTCTTAATCCTTAAGAAAAGTGGCAATTTTGATGTGTTTTAATGAGAAATATTAAAACTTTTATCAAGAAAAATAATTTTATTCAGAGTAGAAATGTTAGAAAGCAAAACACCTTCACAAGTATCGTCATTCCGAACTAAGAGATGCGTGCAGAGTTTAGCAAATCGAGCACACTCGTGTTATGTACACAGTTTTTGTAAACAGGGCTCGAGTTCTGTTTTTGTTTATATTTAGAATTCACCGGGTGCGTTCAATCGTCACAGTCTGCTTACCACAACTGCACGGACTGACAATATATTGTGTGTTTGTTTTGCTTTCGAACGTGTCTACTCTGAATTTTCTGGATTATAGTATTAATATTTTTCATTTATACAAAACGAGATTACCACTTTTCCTAAGGATTAAGAATAAAATTAAATTTGTGAGAGTGCAACGATCTGTCAATCAAACCCGCCGAAAAATTTGAAATTTCAATATCTTTTAAACGAAATAAGATTTTTAATTAATTTTTGTGTGAAATGCTATTAAAATATATAAGTCGTAATATTATAGAGAAAATAAATACTGTGTCCAAGTACCTTTAATAACTTTTAAATGAAATAATATTTTTAATTAATTTTTTGTGTGAAATGCTATTAAAATATATAATTCGTGATATTATACAGAAATATACAGAAAATATTAACTTCAAATCTGTGTCCAAGTACCTTGAATTAAAAAAAAAACTGCACTGTCTAATTATGGAACTTGTAAATTTCGTGAGTCCATAGCATTACGGTCACCCAGTCTCCTAACAAACTGTACACATAGGCCTACATGTACCTGTGTCCGCAAGACCAACATTAGCCTTGGTCTACACACGTGCGATGGAGCTGTCAAACGCATCCAGCGAGCTCGGAGAAACACGTTTTGTTTTGCCTAGAAGTTACGATGGCAGACAAAACTTTTCTTTTCTTAATTAGATCATATGAATACGAATTCTGATTAATAATAAAAATTATACAATCCCTGTTGAACTATATATAGTTTGTTCTAACATTTGCATCTGCAACAACTTGTGTTTAAAATGGCCGGGTTAGGAAAATCAGGACCGGGCCGGAAAATTCTAAACTGAAAACCTTTTTTGTTTTGAAAATTACTGAAATATACTAATGTATTCGTCGCAGAAATTACTTACAATATTCAAGTTCTATATAAAATGGTATGCTGAACTTCAACACGAACCCGAATCTCCAACCCAGTTATCGTTTTGCCACACATACCCTACAGTTTAAAAAGTGTACACACGAGCAGAATCCGGCCAGGGATTGAAAATTCCGTCATTTAATAATACACACACACAGAATGATTAATTTTTTCTTTAAGAAGAAATTGTATGATAATTAATGGACTATAAACATGTACTTAATACAATTGTTGATATAGTATTATCAATTCATCGGTGAAAAGATATGAATCGAAGAATGACCTAAATATTCTCTGTTATCAAACATGTAAAAAAAAAAAAAAAAAAAAAAAAAACAGGCTGAGGAGGGAGCGAGCGTAGGAATACTGATATTTTTTATTTGCATTTCGGGGGGAAAGTGACTTTCTAATAATATTTTGACGTTTTTTTTAATTTCTTTAACGTATGACATACACATCTTTACTCTTATCATGAACAATAATGTTGTATCTACTTATCATGATGGAACTATTTTGGTCGGACCAATTTGTGTGAGCCGCCGCTGAATACAGTATCTTGCATAAATAGTATGCACTGATCGAATATATTAATAAGATGATGTTATAGAGATTTTCATAATCTAATAATTTAAGAGAAGCAATCTGCAAATGCTGTGGTTTTTTATAATGACCCTGTTTGATAACATATAGTTTGACTACAGATAACATTGTTTTCTTTCTCAATACAGCGGAAATAACCGTTAAACAGGAGATGCTTAGCGTCACTTTAGTTCAAGTAAACGACAGTTATTGTACCTATATAAAAATTCCATGACGTAGGAACCCTTACGTGAATGAGCTCGATGCCCTTAAGAGCATGTAATAAACAAAGGACGTTAAGAACCCTCTCTACAATGCACACTAAAGAGTTCTGGTTCTATGGTATTTTTTTGCAGTTAGAGTGATCTGCCCTTAGATCTAAATTCTTAAAATTAGAAATTCACAGTTTATTACACAATTTGTAATCAATTCAGGTATTCTTAACATTTTAAAAGGCCAAGATTAATTAATTGAACATGTTATTTACATGTATTTTCTCTATCGAAGTAAACAACAGTGATTTCTATTCACTGATACTGTGTTGTGTTTGATTATTTTTCCTAGGGGTAAATGCCACGCACCATATGTTGAAAATCATATAAATAAGTTCAATACTAACACCTTTATAGAATATATTTTTCTCAATATTCAAAAAACATTTTGTACTGGTGTAGAGAGGGTCCTTAATGTTTGTCAGTGAGTGTTTTTGTGATTTACTTGTAGATCGTGTCTGTTTCCTTCATCCACAAACATACTCTCCAGAAGATTCACGACGTCAGAATTCGGATCAACATTACCCTGTAAGAAATAAATATCAATTATTTAATTATACATGGACATCTGTCCTGATTTATCATTTAAAAAATTTGCTCGATGTTGTGATTTAACACAAAAATATTCTGAAATTATAAAATACTTTTCTTATTGACAATATCTATATAGTGTTTAGAGACCAGGTCTCCAAACAATCTTTCGGATTAGCACGAAAGATTAGCAATACACCCTTATACAGGTCGGAGAGAATACTCGGAATCGGGTATTATAATTATCCGTGAAATTGCGTATAATACCCGATATTAGGGTATCGTTGAATCCGCAAGATTTGCTATTTTACCTATTTTATTCCTTTTTCAAATGGAGAGCGAGAAGTCATATGTAAAGTATTTTTTCTGATTTTTTAATTTTTTTTGAGAGGGGGGGGGTGTTTATAAATAAAAGTCAAATGTGTACATCATTTCATGTGCTAACAATACAATCTCAATATATACTGAAAAGAAAAAGAAACGCAGGGTATTTGAAATTTTTTGACCGCATGACCAACAATTACGAAAATTGGTAAGATGAGAATTGAAACGTGTTTCCGTATTATTTGATTTATTTACATGTTTGTCGTGTTGATGTGGAATTATTATAAATTCCCGAATTCTGATATTTAACAATTCTGTTGAACATGAAGAAGATGCAAATACTTTCAACATTATGAAAACTATAAAGCAAATCGAACGCCTTTTTGGGTGCAGATCATGAAATGTACTATGCTCCACGGGTATTTGTTGTCCTGTGCGCATTAATCCTGTCACCCATATTCTAACTTGGTTTGTGATACCTTTAGAAAACTTGTGTATCTAGATGAAAATTATTTCGGCAACATGCGCCATCCCATTGTTTAAGTTTACCCTATTTCACGGATAATACCCGATTTCGAGTAGTCTCTCCAACCTGTTATAATCCGCATGTAGATTTATGTTCCCTAGTTTATTCGATATACAAGAGCATGCTCGACTATGAACAATTTCCCAAAGGAGGCAAGCAATTGGCATACAAGTTGATGAAACAAGGATATCAAACAGCTTATTTAGTAATCATTTCGCAAGTTCTATGGTCGATACGATGACCTTGTCAGTACAATCCATCATTGCATTGAATGCTGACTGATGTTTTTAAGTACTGTAAATACTAATTGTTGAACCATTATTTACACAATTTACAAAATTCACGTGTACAATTAAAAATTCTCCAATAGCATTACCTTCAGGGCTTCCTCAATGAGTATTGCACCGTCTCCGGGTTGGGTTATGTTTTTAACTTCGTTGGTGTTTGGACTGTTTCTTCTCATATTCACGGATAGTGCGGAGTAACGATTGATATAGCTCCGCTTCCTCTTGTATTGCGTCACTGTTTGGTGTTCTCTAATACAAAAATAGGAATTATCTTAATAATTTAAATGTATAAATACCTACAATATTAGTATACATAAATAATAAATACATATACAAATAGTTGTAGTAAGTTTAATTGATTTCAATGTATTTCTTTTTTAAATCATATTTCACGGGTTTTTTCATTCAGACATGTATTTGTTAATTACTTAACCTTATAGTTTGGTTTGCATTTGAACATTTTTAATCTTGCCAAAAGCTGCATACGGAAGCATCAGTGTTTCACAAACACATCTGGCTTTTATTAATTAATCTATAGACATAATGGCATTTAGAAAATATTACATTTTGTCTTTTGTGCTTTAATTGTGTTTACTTCATATTTTATGCAATATATACTGTAAAATAATTGCTTCCTTTGCAGGACATCATAGATTACTTCTTATACCATGTAAATCAACCTTTGTGCGTATATAACGCTGGATCTAGATTAAAGTTTTTTGTAACCTTCAATTTGACATTTTGAAATAATGACGTCTTTTAATTATAAACAATATTTATATCCTTTTTTTTGTGTGTGTGTACGCGAAATAAAGGAAACATACAGTTTTTTCATGTTCCACAGTTAGGTCTTTTACTAAAGATGAATGGGTCAGTGTAACACTTAACAATTCAAATTTCTAAAACGATTTAGAGTTTTAGAATGTTGATATATTAGTTCAATTTTCTAACTTTCAAAAACTCAAACTGATTTGTTATATTGAAATTTAACATTTTACTTCAAAAATCTAAATTTCCATATTTCCAAACAGGTTTTAGAATTTTAAGTTTTTCGATTTTTACCTTAAATATTCAAAATTCAAATTTCCAAAAACAAATTTTGTATTTTAGATTTTTAAGTTTTTAATATACCGTTTGTTTAGAAAGTTTACGCTTAACAATCTAAAACTCGATAACATTTTCGTCTTTTGATTACTGAGTATTTAAGATTTACTTCAAACTTCCAACTTTCAAACGCTTTAGGTTTTTAGAAATTTAGAATATTGATTTAAAAACTCAACTTTTAAATAACCAAAACACTTTTGTACATTTTGAGTTTTTAGAAGTTTACTTCAAATATCCAAAATATCAAATTCCATAACTGGTTTAAATTTTATATATTTAAAGTAAAATTCTAAAAACTCAAAGTGTTTAGGTTAATTGAAATGAGAACATTTGACTCAAAATTCTAAATTTCTAAAAATCTGAAACGTTTCAAAGTTGGAGTTTAGAAGTTTGAAGCTAATTTCAAATACCCAGAACACGAAAAACATTACCGAACTTTACATTGTTAAGTGTAAACTTTCTGAGCAACGTTTAAATTCCAAAAATCGTTTTCGGAAATTTGAATTTTGAACATTTAAGGTAAAAATCTAAAATATTAAAATTCTAAAACCTGTTTGAAATTTTGAACTTTTAGATTTTTAAACTAAAATATTAAATTTCAATATACGAAATCAGTTTGAGTTTTTGAAAGTTAGAAATCTGCTAAAACTCAGAATCGTTTTAGAAATTTGACTTGTTAAGTGTTACACGGACCTGACTGTAACCAGTTTAAACTTTGAACTATTAACGTTATCTTTTTAAAACAGAGATCAAATTAAATGTGTCAGATTGTCAGGGCATGTTTACATCTCCTATGCACCTGATCTTACCTATGATGTTTCCAGAAGTCCGTGTTTTGTTTTTGTTTTTTAGTTTTGTCACTTTATCGCGTTGTAAATTTTGACAGATATCATGTTGTAAAGTTTGCATTTACCTCCCCATAGTAAATTCAAAATTTACAACAAGATATCTTTTTCTTGTATATATTGCTATGCATATAATCTTTTAGATTAATAATCAAAATCACTTTTTCCTAAAATAAAATTTAGGAAAAAATATCGGCTTATTGAATAATGATTATGTGTTTCAGAAAGTTTTCCTAACATTCAATGCGCTATTTTTCTTTTTAGCTTAAACAGTAGGGACCTCTTCACGGGTATACAGAGGGGATTGCAATCAGCTCTTGAATTATTAAAATAGCATAATAAACATGTAGTTCAAGTTATGATAATGGAATACTTTTAGGTAAATCAGTTTATCGATTGTATTTTTTCCTTCTAAAAAATTAAAATCCATGTTAACAGTACAGTAGTTTATTCTTTAAATTAGAAAAATTTACAGTAGTAAAAATTTCCTATTTTATCTTTTCTTTTTTTTAATGAAACATATGGAGATAACGAACGGTATACAAAAATAAATAGATTAAATTGTAAAATTACATTTTCACACTTTTCTTTTAAATTCATGAATTTGCAACAATAATGTTGTTAAGCTAAATCAGTATCAGTCAATTAGTAAGAAATTAGGCTTTAAAAAATCTGTATTTTTTATCCTTAATATTAGTCTTGGATTAAGAGGGAAATAATAAAATATAGAAATAAATAAATAAAAAGAAAGGAACTGTTGCACAAAAGCATGCTTTTATCAAGCAAAGATGTCTGTGTCGGTCGAACTGATTGGTTTGTTTTTTTATTTAAAGTATTGTCATACTGTAAAAAATTTTCATTGTGAAATTTAATTTTTCTGGAATTTCATATATGAAGATTTAAAATTGTGATTATTGTCTACAGTTCCAAATCATCTTACCTTGGATTTAACGGATTCGTATCTTTGTCTCAATTCGTTGAGAGTTAATCTCGATTCTTTTCCAACGGCTGTAAATAAAAAAAATAGATATCAGTTAATATCATCGTTTTAAAAGTTGTAAACAACCGAATCTTCTGATAAAATAATTTGATTTAGACTTTAGACCATTACCTTTGGCTTGGACATTGGGAATTGTGAAGACCACAATGCTCAGAAGTACGATAACTTTCGAAAGATACCAAGGTTTCTTTATCAGTCCCATTTTGCTGATCGAAATGATTTTAGAATTTCAAAAATGGCAATTTATATACTTTTTTGCCTATGTACATCATTAAAAGTTTAAACAGACCTCGGAGATATACTGAACTCCATAAATATAAGTGTTCCTTTAATGTAACATTTGGCCCCCCGCCTACGTAATGACCAGAACCATACATCCTGGAACTATTTTAAGCAATCTTAGTTGAAGTTTTGCTAGTTCTACTTGGGAACAAGCATCATAACGTCAAGAAAAATAAAACAAACAAACAAAACGTCAAAAATTATGTGATACTCTTGAGGATTAAATTTAGCTAAATGTTTGGGCTTTTAAAATACCACCTACAGATATTTTGTTCTAACTTTACTCGTCAATCATTATCTGAAAACTTCTACAAGGTTTCCGATACATTTCTCAAAAACTTAATTTTCAAAATCTCTGGTAAAAGTTGAATAATCAAATTGTACTCTATGTGAGTGTAAAATAATGTGAAATTAAAAGTGAATTCTAAAGATTTTAAATATGCACAAAGGCCAGTCAGTTTGCAGAATATAACATTAACACGTAGACAAAATATCATGCATAAGAAATTATTATCGGCATTTTTCGTCTATAATATTTTTGTTTTCAAATTTCAATAGAAATTTGAATAATTCTCTTTTTCAAAAAAAAATTAAATTTGAGGAGAACAGTATTTACAAATGTATGTTCTTTACAATTATGCAAAGTACAATATGTTTTTATTTCAAAAGGAACTTTTTTTTCAAACATAACCTTTACTGTTGAAAATGTTCCTTGAAATGTAGCCCACACCCCATATCCTTTTTTTTTTTTTTTTTTTTTTTTTGCAAAATAGTAAAATCTCCAACAGAAATATATAAATATGTCTATGATGTAAAAAGAAAATAAGAAGCCTGAAGGCTACTTTTTCAATAAAACTCGTAAATTTACTTACCATGTCATCTGACTCATTTATATATCGAGTCTTGAGCTCCAATACTGTTTGTTATCTCCACATATTTCAAATGAATAATATTAAATAAATTTATTTGTTAAAACATTTTGATTGTACATACAAGTATCAAAAAGATATAACAAAGATGCCTTAGCTTCTGATTTACAATATTTGTCTAGTTTTAGAATTTCATCGAAACAAACTTCTCGTTGTTTGTTATTTATTCAAAAACTTACACATAGGAAGAGAAAATACTTGCTTCGGCCTGTTACTCGACCTAAGCTGTTTCAACGATGAAAGACTCACCAATAAAGTTTTCTTAGGGAGTTTTCAAAATAATGGAACATGGCATGGTGTTCACAAATGAAAGGAACTCTATACAAATTAAATATGAAAACTCATTTGATTACCTCCGTATATCTATATGTCATTTATAATTAAATCAAACCAAATGTAAATTTTTGCAAAGAAGAATGTAAATTGAAAAATATTGTCGTTACCTAAATTGAGAACATTTATGACTTTTAAAAATAAGTTTGAAATGGAACTTTAAAAAGATGGACATGAAAAAACAAGAAAGCTCCATAATGGCTAAGATTAGACGTGGTATCCTTCCGCTACGAATAGAAACATGCCGTTTTAGAACCGCTACAAGAACATTATTGTTTTATGTAAAGATGGATCGATAGAAGATGAAAAAACATTTCTTATTTCATTGCAAAATATAGGAAAATATCAGAGAAACTTTTTCATAATGTTAATCTAAATACAAATGTGGCTCCTTTTGAAAATTTAAACCCTTTCATGAAAACTCATGAAAGGCAAACTGCCAATTTTTTTTTAAATTTATGTTTTTAATGAAACATATAGAGATAACGAAAAGTATTCAAGATCAAAAGTCTATAAAACAATACAAAATAGGAGCAGACCAAACGTGTACCTCCAGATCATCAAAGGTGGAATCAGGTGCCATGGAGGAGTGAGCATCCCCTGCCGACCGCTCACACCCGCCGTGTGCTCCTTGTCATGTTTTGGAAATAACGGGAAAATCCGTCGTAAATTTAGTGTATAAATAATGGACTAACAATTAGTATGAAAAACGTCAGTCAGTATTTGACTCAATGATAAATTGTATTTGCTGACAAGGTCATTGTATCGACCATAGGACTTACTAAATGATGACCTACATAAGTTGAAGCAATATACCCTTATCACCGGCTTGTGGTTATATCTATCCGTTGATTCGAAACAGAAGAGTGTGGTCTAGGAACAAACAATTTCTAAAGCGAAAGAAGCTATTGGCATATAAGATGATGAAACACAAATGTAAACAGTCTCGTTTAAAGTCATCATTTCGCAAGTTCCGTGGAAGATACAACGAACAGGAAGCAGGTACATTTCATTATTAAGTCAATTGCTAACTAATGTTTAACTTACCAATTGCTGGACCATTACTTCACCAAAGGATTTTCTACCTACTCTTGATAAGGATTACACGACTAATATGGCCGGTCGACACGGGATGTTTTCTCCTCCATAGCACTTGATCAGAACTTTGACATTTTAGAGGTCCTTATTTGTTCTGCCCCCGATTTTTGTTGTTTTATTGACTTTCCATCTTGATATTTCTACATTTTATGCACAATAAAAAAAATACAAAGGATTTGCCAACTGGAAGATACTATATCATTTTGAAAAGCTTGCAAACACTGAAAATCCCAAAGAAATGGGAGGAAATTGTTTTCTTTAAAATTTTGATGAAAATTTCCATGATGCAGCTCATTTTTCATGGGGCTAGGGTCTAAAACCAACACATTTTGGTTTCATTATACAACAATTCAAAATGCCTAATTACAATCTATATACATGTACATGTAGTAGTTTAGGTAAAAAAAAATTAGGAACCGCTCAATTTTCAACCCGTTTCACCCGCAATGAAAACGGAATTGTGGACTTTCCTGACATGTATTATATTTAGAGAACAAAAACTGCATTTTCTTTGAATTCATGCAAATGATTTAACTAGACCTAGTCCTTCATATATACACAGTGTATTGTAACGTTATTTCATTGGAAAAAGTGGTTGTCTATATTTTATTAATTTTTTACATTCTCCTTCTTGGTTAATTTTAAATTACTGCAAAGTTATCCTCCAAAAATTCCGGAAATGTAAAGAAATAAATAATAGATATGAAAATTTAAAAATGTCGGGAATGAAAACAAAACAAAAATATCAGAAATACAATTCAAAACTTCGGAAATAAAAATATTTTAAAACTTCAATTATCAACGAAAAACAACCTTCTCCATACTTTAGGTATTTGAATTATACACTTTTTTAATTTTATTTCGGGGGTACAAATTGTAGTACAAATTAAATTCCTCTTCTGATGTATCGATTAAATTTTTAGATTGTTTGATAAGTATTTTTTCATGTTTCCTTGATGTAAAGTCCTCACTGGGTCCCTAGGAGATGTTTTCAAATTTCTTGAAGATCAAAGCATTTAACCGAATTTCGTCCTAAAAAAGATCTGTCACCAAATTTCAAAAACAAAAGTACAGGTAAAGAGATTCTATTATGAAACTATCCAAACTGGAAAAGCGAGATTTGAAAAGTCATGGTGGAGCACATTATGGTATTTTAATAAAAATGTCTCCATTAAGATACTATCATGCAGAAATAGTAGGCGTAATACAACAAAATAAAATAAAAGGAAAGTTATTTTATTATTAAATTAGCCAGAAAAAAAAACAAAATTTAAATTAGGAGCTATATCTGCGCAATGAGCACATTACGACAATAGCAACATTGCGATGATTTTAAAAACAGTGGGCGTCTTTATGGCAAAATAGAAATCAAAGAAAATATATTCGTTTCAATCAGATCTGATTTTTTTTAATATCTAATGATTTGTACTTTTTAGAGTATCAAATTCTACAAAAGGTAAGTATTTCTATTTGAAATAAATATTTGACGCATTCTCCAAATCCCTTTTTAAAGACTATAGTAAGTTTAAAGTCGCTGTTTCTGATGGACTCAAGGATGCCAGGTTTAAATCCATAATGAATATCAATTTAGTGATGACTATCATTTACAAATACATTAGCGCATTAAGGATTTCCATCCCTAGTGGGACCAAATTCTTTACCCTTAAATGTCCGTCCAGTACGTAATACTCTGATATTATGTTAAAGTATCTTATAGTGGAAAAGGTTTGTCCGCGAGAAAGTTTTAAAACTTTCATTAATGAAGCAGTAGGTAATTAACAAAGATTGCATTGAAGTCTAATTTGGGAAAAGCGTTTTTTTTTTTTTTTTCAAAATAAAAATTTAAATAATTTGAATATCAATAAATCCTGCGATGGAAAGATGCATTGAAACATTAAAGATAGAATGACAATTGAAAACAATTTTTTACCGTCTAATTTTTTTTTAAAATTGATTTTTTTTTTTCATTAATTAAAAAAGGGGAGATAACTCTTACCAAATTTCAAGGTCATAGATTAGAACACATCCCACTATACATACTAATAGTAATAAATGGGAATCATGTCTAAATAAACCGAGTATTCAATGCCTATATATCTGTTATGTATTCAATATCATTGAATTTGTTCCTATTAGGGATTGAATACCTTAACACGGGAATTAATGTTACAGCTGCGGCAGGGGAAAATGCATGAACCGCGTAAACATTTTTGTTTCAATAGATGCAGTCTTAATTCCCATACAATCAAATAAAGAATAACATTTTAAGTTTATATTTGGGTCTAAAAAACTAATCATTAAATGTAGGGTTTAGTAGATGAAATACGTATGTCACTGTACGTTTAAATTGATGGAACAGCCAAGACTCAAGAAATTACGGAAGCCTATTCGTGCCTGTCAACCTTAATTCCAACTTGAATCTTGGCTTTTCCAACTTTGAAGTTGATAATTGCAACTTTAAAGATGGTTACACCAACTTTTTTTATGTACGTTATATGTTTTATATATATATATATATATATATATATATATATATATATATATATATATATATATATAT